GCAGGTAGGAGTCACTTGAGCCCAGGAGTTGAGGTGCTGTGAGCGAGTAGCTGACGCACGGCCTCACTCTAGCCTGGGCAACAAAGCGAAGGACTAGCCTGGACTCTGCTCTCAAAATAAATAAATCTAAGATAATCAAGACTTGGCTACTCCCTGACTTAATCCTGCGTAAAAAAAAAGCGCGGGGAGAGGAGGAAGGGAAGGAAGGAAGGAGAGAAGCAGGAAAGGAAGGAAGAAGACAAAAGAGGAAAATGAAAGAAGAAATAAAAGAAAAAGGAAGAGAAGAAGAAAAAAAGTAAGAAAGAAGAAAGAAAGAAAGAAAAAGAAAGAAGAAAGAAAGAAAGAAAGAGAAAGAAAGAAAGAAAGAAAGAAAGAAGAAAGAGAAAGAAAGAAAGAAAGAAAGATCAAATTTAAAAACAATAAAAGATCGGCTACTGTGTGGAGACAAGTCTGCAGGGAAACCAATTAAGAGGCTGCTGAAGAGATCAGTTAAAATGGAGACTTGAACCCACGACTTTACCTCAGGTCCCTCCCAAATCCCACTAATACTAAGGCCTTTGTATAAGGACATAAACCCACAAGGACGAGGATGTGGCCGTGAGAATCTGAATCAAGAAGCTGGCAGATCCGCTCCTCTTGCTCCAAGCAAACAACTTCCCCACCCTGGGTGGAATATGCACCCAGGAATGTTTAGCAGAGATGTGTCCCAGGGTGGCACCGTGCTGAAAGGAGGGCATTAGAATGTTGATCCCTCTTCACCAAATTAGCTTCCTGAATGCACACTCCAGCCGCGTCCGTCGCCTAAGTGTCTTCACCAGGGAATCTGAGCAGCCTCAGAGAAAAGACCACGGATACTAACGTCTGTGGTCCCTGATGGAGAACCCGCCTTACAGGTGCAGCCCACTATTGACTATCCTGCCCCCGCCCGCGGAGCTTCCAAGCATCTTTTTAGAGTGCCCCTCACGGAAACATGAGCACATAGCTAAGGGCCACTGTACTTGCAAGGAAGTGATGTGAAAGGGACTGCAGCAGCCATGAAAACGCGCCATCAGACCCCCTGTTGTGCAGGGGAGTGTGGCCAACCCAGGGACACTTCCCACAACCAGCTCCCAGCTAGTGTCCCTGAGCGCAGCAGGGACACTAAGGCAGGCCCACTCAGAAGAGACAGGACTGGGCCAGGCGCGGTGGCTCACACCTGTAATCCTAGCACTCTGGGAGGCCGAGGCGGGCGAGTTCGAAACCAGCCTGAGCAAGAGTGAGACCCCGTCTCTACTATAAATAGAAAGAAATTAATTGGCCAACTAATATATATAGAAAAAAATTAGCGGGTAGAAAAAAATATATATTAGAAAAAATGGTGGGCATGCCTGTAGGTCCAAGTGACTCGGGAGTGAAGGCAGGGAGGATCGCTTGAGGGCCCAGAGTTTTGAGGGTTGCTGTGAGCTGGTGACGCCACGGCACTCATTAGTAGCTGGGCAACAAAAGCCAGACTTGTCTCAAAAAAAAAAAAAAAAGGTGGTGGCTCAATTGCTAAGGATTTTACTAGTGGTGACCAGTGAAAATGTCCCAGGTGGAGTGATGCACAGTATCCTAAAGACTTGTGGGGTTTGGGGGGGAAATGAGTTCAGAAGCAGTGGGAGAGGCTGGCTACTGCCAAGTTGGATGGATGCCCTGCGGAGGGTAATGAGGCTGAGGGCTGTTAAGGAGAGACTAGCAGGCCTCTGGCAGAGCACGACAGGGCTCTCATCTCTGGCAGTAGAAGAGCAGACACAGCTGAGTGGCAGGCGAAAGATTCACTGTTACAAGTTTTAAAATACTCAACTTACTTTAGGAAGCTAAGGTGGAAGGATCGCTTGAGGCCAAGAGTTTGAGACCAGCCTGAACAACAAAGTGTGACCCTATCTCTACAAAGAACAGAAAAATTACTTGGGTGTGCTGGCTCATGCCTACAGTCCCAGCTGCTCGGGAGGCTTGAGGCAGGAGGATCTCCCTTGAGCCCAGAGCTTGAGGTTGCAGTGAGTTGTGATGATACTGCTGCATTCTAGTCTGGGTGACAGAGCAAGACCCCATATTAATAAAAGAATAAGAGGAGAGGAGGAGGGAGAAGGAGGAGGAGGGAGAGGAGGGAGAGAGGGAGGGAGGGAAGAAGGAAGGAAGAGAAGAAGGAAGGAAGAGAAGAAGGAAGGAAGGAAGGTTGGTTATATTGCACGTCTATGGCCATACCACCCTGAATGTGCCCAATCTCGTCCAATCTTGGAAGCTAAGCAGAGTCGGGCCTGGTTAGTACTTGGATGGGAGAAAGTTATGTTGCACAAAAACCCACCAGGTTTCAGCTGACTTTAGCATCAGTCTTTCTTTTGGTGGCAAGCGATTGGAACTGACTTAGCTAACACAAAGGAAAAATTAAAAACAGTAAAGAGCTTTAAGTAGCAGGATATAGGAGTTGAGCGACTGGAATTGAAAAATGGAAGGAACGAGAGCAGCTGAGTCACCTCAGCAAGAGCTCATTGACTCTCTAGAGCTGCCATTACCATACTTCAGCAGTAATGTCCCAGTTGCTGAATTCCTTGTCCCAGTGTTCAAATTACACCAAGAGAAAGATAGCTAGACCCTCTAGGTTTATGTAAGTACACGCTATGATGTTCGCACAATGACAAAATCACCTACCGATGCATTTCTCAGAACATAAGCAATGCATGACTA